CCCCCGGAGCAGAACAGAGCCCTGTGGGTGGGGAGCACTCTCTGGAGGGGCCTCCTTCACCTCTGCTCCAGGCTCTCTCTTGCCCATCCCCACCTGGCCCTGTCCACAGTTTGACCCTGAGCTGGTGCTCGTCTCGGCAGGATTTGACTCAGCAGTTGGGGATCCTGAGGTGAAGGCTTGTCCTGGCTGGGGAGGGCCTCTGGGGCCCTGGGGATCCTGAGGTGAAGGCCTGTCCTGGCTGGGGAGGGCCTCTGGGGCCCTGGGGCCAGGCCCCCTCACACTTGGCTCTGGTTCCAGGGGCAGATGCAGGCCACGCCTGAGTGCTTCGCCCACCTCACGCAGCTGCTGCAGGTGCTGGCCGGCGGCCGGGTCTGTGCTGTGCTGGAGGTGACTGGCAGCAGGGAGGGCTCACAGGCCAGGTGTCGAGGTGCAGTCAGGGGGGCCCGCTCTACAGGGTGGGGCGTCCTGCCGGGACGGTGGCGCCCCGCCCCACTGACAGCCCTGTCTAATCTCGTGTCTGCCTTCGCCCTGCTCCCAGGGAGGCTACCACCTGGAGTCGCTGTCCCAGTCGGTGTGCATGGTGGTGAAGGCGCTGCTGGGTGACCCTGCCCCGCCCCTGTCGGGGTCCATGGTGCCTCGGCACAGGTATGGGGCAGGAGGCTGGGAAGGCTGGGGGTTCCAGGCCAGGCCTTACTGCTCCTGTTTCTCCCCACAGTGCTCTGGAGTCCATCCAGAGTGTCCGGGCAGCCCAGGCCCCTCACTGGACTAGCCTTCAGCAGCAAGGTCGGTGTGGCCCACGCTGGGCGGCAGGGTACCTCCCCGGGCTCCTGCGCAGTGGCTTTGACTCTGAACCACTCCCTAGGGCCGGCCCGCCTACTGAACCCCAGCACCTGCTCCCCAGAGGGGAGACGCCCACCTGTGTCGCCTGGGGGGCCCGGATTCAAGGCAGCGGAGGCCCAGGGCTCGGCTGTACCGAGGTCCCTCCTGGACCAGCTGCACCTCTACCCCACACCCCCTGCCCGCACGGCTGCCGCCCTGATGGCCCAGGATGCTGCTCTGGTCCTACCGCCTGATGTCCTCCGTCCAGAGGGGTCAGCCCCACAGGAGGAGACACAGGCCTGGGCCAGGTGGGCAGAGCGGGCCTGGGGAGAGGGATGGGGCTGTGGGTGACACGTGCCGTGGTACCGGTGTCACTTCCTGTCCACGTGTCCCTCTGGTTTCCCACCACAGGCTACATGAGGCCCTGGCCCAGGACACAGCTTTCATTGCACTTGGAAAGGTCCTGCATCTATTGAACGGGATCCTGGATGGACAGGTGGGGGCACCTGGGATGGGCTGAGGGTGGCCCTGGAGCTGGGGGCAGGGCCCAGGAGCCGCCCACAACAGATGGCCTGTCCAAGGGAGGGCTGGGTGGTGCAGAACCACATGGACCCTTTCTAGAACAGCTCTTAGGGGCAAGGTCACAAGTTCAGGCTCAGTCAGTCTTCTTAACTAAATACTCTGACAGTGAGGTGAAGGCGATGATTTAAAGTGTAGTTTTAAGCATCTTATTTCCAGAAGGGGAGCAGTTTGAGCTCAGTTGTGCAGATGGCAGCTCCGTAGACAGGGACCAAGAGGAGGATGGATGTGACTCTCTGCCTGGTTGGGGGTTGCCCCCCACAGGTGAGCAGTGGCATCGCAACAACCCCAGCTGCGGCGGCCACCCTGGAGGTGGCCATTCGGCGCGGCTTGTCCCACAGAGCCCAGAGGTGAGCACCCCCGCCCTGGCGGGCCACACTGCTCCTGCTTCCTGGCCCCATGGGGAGGGCTCCAAGCATGGATTCCTGGCTGGGTGAGTGCAGCCCGTCCTGGGGCCACCTTTTCCTCTAGGGTGCTCTGTGTGGCTGTGGGACAGCTGGATCGGCCCCCAGACCTTGCCAGTGATGGGTAGGACACTTGGGTCCTGTGTGCATCCCGTCCTGTGTGTGGGTGGGCACGTACTCCTGAGTCCCCATGGGGGAGGGTGGGCAGGGCCTTCCCCAGCTGGAGTTTGGCAGAGGAGCTCCTGGGAGGGTCTCCAGCACCTTCCCTTCTGCTGTCTGGGCTCTGGAGGGTGAACCACATTTCACAGCCTTCCATGTGTGCCCACGTGCTCACTCTCCCCTGGAAGGAGAAATCTGTGGCTGAACATCAGAGGCAAAGAAGCGGCTGCCCTGTCCATGTTCCACGTGTCTGTGCCGCTCCCAGGGGTGAGTTGTGGGGTCCCGGGCAGGGCAGCTGCCACTCGTTGGCACCCTTGGGGCCGCTCCTGGCCTTCACCTGCCCTTCCTGGCTTCCTGATGGGACTGTGGGAGGTGGGGTGACCCCTGGCTGAGGGCCTGGAGCTCTGCTGCTGTCCTTCCCACAGACAACAGGTGGGTTCTTGAGCTGCATCCTGGCCCTTGTGCTGCCCCTGGCCTATGGTTTCCAGCCTGACCTGGTGCTGGTGGCGCTGGGACCAGCCCATGGCCTCCAGGACCCCCAAGCTGCACTCCTGGCTGCGCTCCTACGGGGACCAGCGGGGGGCCGAGTCTTGGTCCTAGTGGAGCAGGTGAGTTGGGCAGGGTGGACATGCTGTGGGTGGGAGGTGGGGAGACCAGTGACTTGCTGCTTCCACCTCTACTCCTGGCCCAGGAATCCACATCCCAGCTTGCGGGGGTCCTGGCCCGGGTGTTGCATGGAGAGGCACCCCCCAGCCTGGGTCCCTTCTCCATGGCTTCCCCCGAGGACCTGCAGGCCCTGATACACTTGAGAGGGCAGCTGGAAGCACAGTGGAAGATGCTGCAGGTGGCCGGTGAGGCTGGGGGGCAAGGCTGAGACTGAACGCCGGGAGTCTAGGGGGACAGTTCTGCCGTAGAGCTCTGTGGGGAGAGGGGCTCACGTCTTGGGGAGTGAGGTGCTGTCCTGAACCTGCTCATCACAGTGACAAGCTGACTGTACATTTCTTCCTAGCTCCTTCTTGAGTTCTGTGACCTGGTAGCTTGAACTCAGCCAGGGTGGAAGTCTTTGCACACCAGAAATGACAATACATGCTAGTCCCCCAAGAGCCATAATTAAACATTCGCCAGTACCCCACTGCCTGAGGCCTTTGTGCAGAGGGCTGGGCTATGGAGTTGTCCAGGGCACTGGCTCAGGGGCACTCTGTCCACGGCAGTGACCTGGAGCCCCCATCCAGTGGCCCACCTCTTCACGGATGGCCCCATCCTCATTTCTCACACTTCTGTTAACCTTAAAAATAAAAGTTATTTTACCAGCAAAAATGGGTTTATTCAGGAGTAGCAGAGAATTGCAATTTGGGACAGGTAGACTATGGCAAAATACTAGGCTAGTCCAACAAGCAAAGAGGAACGTTATTTTATGGAGAAGAAGGAAGAAGCTGGGAAGGATTGTTCCGAATGAACATCCATTGGAGAAAATCAAGAGTTCAGGATGATGATGATTTTCTGATGATCCTTTGCTGTTGATTCTTCTGTTGGGCCTCTAATCAACGATTGTTCCTGTGATGGGCATGGAGTGGTATAGCTCCTCCTTCCAGCCTCCCCTTCTAGCATCCCAAGCCCACTTCCGAGAGTTTCCCTTTATTGATTTCCAAATTTCCCTCCTTTTGATCAAGACCTTTCTTTGAAAGCGTCACTGATCAAGAGTCAGGTTTTCTGTATTTAGTGGTTTTGTCTGTTGCTGCCAGGAAGGACTTCTCTGGTTATCCTGTCCTACAGCAGAGGGAAAGTATGTACCAGTTGGAAACCACTTGAGGCCACATTTGAGTCAGACGGGAGGTCAGGAGGGAGAACTGCCAGGCACTTCCCGTCTAAAGTCTACATATTCTCAAGGTTACAAGTATTGGAGATCATTTCTGTAGTGGGCACATCATTTTTACAGAAGTTTGACAGTTAACAAAATACAAAACTTAAAAGAGCTATACAAAACAGAAGTAATGTAACAATCCCAAATTGAATGGTGGTTCTAAACCAGACTGTAGGTCTGCAGTCGCCAACTGAAGATACTTATTGGCACTCATTCCAATTTAGGGGAGAAAGTTCTCCCTAGGGAGGCAAACCCAGAATCCTGTGTGCCTCCTGGAAGTTCCTGTGGGGAGAGGGGGGTACTGCAAGATCACATGAAAACAATTAGCCAAGTGTGTTTGGGAAAAATGAAGCAATAGCTGAACAAAAACAGCAAAACCTCAAAGATGTATTAAAACAGTACTGTTATCTCGAAAGAACTGAAAACAAATGTTATCCAGTAACAGCCTGTATGGTGGCAAATTCACAGACTGAATTTGGGTAAGAATCCAGTGTAAGATACTAGGTCAGATGAAAGAGGGACTTTTGTGAAGACCGAAGAAACCTAATCAAAAAAAAAGTGAGTGGAAAATTCATTTGTCCCGGGATCATGGTGAGGCTGTTTCTGCAAGGCCATAATCAAAAGAGGTTTCCCCCTTCCACAGGGCTTGGGAGATTCACACAAGGGCACTGTCTTCCCCCTAAAGGAAGGGAAAGGAGGAAAAGGCACACGGGCCTGGTCTACGCATCTCAGGACAGCTCCCTCCCCAGATGTCTGTTTCAGTCTGGGAGGTCTTTACTTCCAGGTCACCAGCTGGTGTTTGGGTCCAGTCAGGCTTTGGTGCTTTCTCTACACATGTCCCATGGATCCAAGAGTCTCTTACCTGGAGTTTGGTGGCACAAGGGCTGGTTAGCAGATCTGAGAGGGGCCTTTCTGGCAAGGTTGTGGAGGTGTCTTTTCCAATAAACGAAATGTCCAGGTTGCAAGGTGTGATGCTTAAGGCCACCCTCTCCATCTCCCAGGAACTCACTGTGTAGATTGTTCTACCAAAGCGTGGCTACCTTTTTTTCTTTTTTTAAAAGATTTATTCATTTGAGGGGGGGGAGGGGCAGAGGGAGAGAATCTCCAAGCAGACTCCCCGCTGAGCGCTGAGCATCCCGCGCCTCCCCCGTGGTGCTCACCACTGAGGAGATCACGCCCTGAGCTGAAACCAAGAGTTGGATGCTCAACCCATGGAGCCACCCAGGCGCTCCAAAGCATGGTTACTTTTAATAGAAGCAGTTAGACCCGAACAGTTTTGAAGTATATCTCCTTTTATTAACATGTGTCAGAGGAGGCAGGGGCCAAGTGCATTGGACGTCCTGGAAATCTAGAAGGGTGGGAGTCTGGGAGATCCCAGATCTGAGGGTTAGAAGGACCAACAGCAATGCTCTTGGCCCAGGTATTTTGGAGGGGCTGCAGATTTTGCCAGTTGAGGCTTACCAATGCTGGTGGTGCGTGTGACTAACGCAGGGCATGTGGATGGGGGGCGCAGTGAAGGTGAGGCCTGCCAAGCAGCGCAGGCCTGCTGAAGCGTCCGGCCAGTAAGATGAGTTCTCCAACCACAGCGAAGTTCGAGAGCGGTTCCCTGGGTAGGGACAATCTTTGCTAACAGAATTTTAGCCACAGAAGCAGCACTGGCCCGTCTAGAAGAGAAAGCTTCGATCCAGTGAGAAAACATGAACCGGGAGACATGGAAGCTGTAGGAGACCCACTTGTGTGGACAGGTGGGAGGAGCGATGCAGGCCCTCTTTGTGGCCTTATTATTTCCCACCCATACTGGTTCGTAAACACTATCATTTTGCCCTACCTGACCCAGTGGGAACAAATGACCAGTGTCCCCGGACTCTGCCATGGTGCCATCATAGACAAGTACAGGAAACATGCCAAAGGGTCGTTTATTTCCCCTGGTTGGCTACTTTTGGTTCATTCAGTCCATGGCACCGCAGTTTTAAAAACAGAACCGGCTGAGGTCCCAGAAAGGGGGGGTCCCCCAAAGCACTGTGATTTCTTTTTTTTTTTTTTAAAGATTTTATTTATTTATTTGACAGAGAAAGACACAGCGAGAGAGGGAACACAAACGGGGAGTGGGAGAGGGAGAAGCAGGCTCCCGCCGAGCAGGGAGCCCGATGCGGGACTCGATCCCGGGACTCCAGGATCATGACCTGAGCCGAAGGCAGTCGCCCAACCAACTGAGCCACCCAGGCGCCCAGCACTGTGATTTCTGGGGGCCCGTTTCTCGGAGGTTTTTCTCCAGAGCAGACAAATTCCTCAGCAGCGCAGCTCTGACCGAGCAGTCCAGTTCTGAAAAGGCGACCTCTCAGCCAGGACAAGGCCTGGAGCACCCGCACACAGAGCGCGGAGCTTGAAATCCGCGGAAAACTTACCCTCCCTCCAGCCCCGGTCCGAGACGGCAGCGCGTTCCGCGGGCGCCCGCACCTGTCTGCGCACCAGCTCGCAGCTCGTGGGGGTCCGCTCCAGGTTCCACTGCAGGCCAGCAAGTACTGTGCCCCTAAAAATCATTTCACGAGCACACATGGGTTTATTCGGGAATAGCAGACTTGCAGCCCGGGCCCAGCATGCTGCGGCAAAACCAGAGAAGGAAGTTGGGAGGTTCGGTCGGTGGGCGAGAAGCAGCAGTCCAGGGTACTGGGGTTTCTCCCCGCCGGAGCCGCGGCGCACAGGGCTCGGGGTCCCTGCGTCCCCGCGGGGCGCGCTCGGGCTGGGTCTGTGACGGACGCGGCGACGACCGGGGTCCAGCGGGGGGCCCCGCTCCAGCCCCCACTCCTGGCGTGCGCAGTCCACCCCAGCGAGTGTGACGCCACCTCCTCCGACTAACCCGCCGCGGGGCTCGGACTCCCCACGAGGCTGCGGCACTCCAAGCCGGAAGTACCCTCCCTGCCGCGACCTCCGGGTCCGCCCCGCCCCTCCCGATGACGCAATTCCGGCGCGCCCGCTTTAGCGGTCTTGCGGGGGCGCGAGGCAGTGACGCCGCGGGCGGGGATAGTGGTGGCGGGAGCGGGCACTGCGGCCTCGTCGCGGGGTGAGGCCTCGCCCGGCGACCCTGCCTGCCGCCACCCCCACACTCCCTCCTCCGGCGGCGCGTAGTCCCGGCCGCCCCTCTCCGGACGTCGACAGAGCGTCCAAAGCGGGCCACGTCCACTGTGTACGGCCCTCGCGCAGTCTCCTCGGGGTTGTCCCGCTTCCGTGACCCCTACAGGGTGAAGACTAGTGGGTGGGACAAGTGGCGAGCTGGCGCTCTGCAGACTACTGCGGGCGGCGGGGTGGCGGCGGGCACAGGGAGGGCAAGAACCTGAAAGTGCAAGTGCTGAGCCTCCGGGTGTCGGTTTCGGGGTCGCCGGGCATTCAGCCCCGTCTGACCCGCTCCCACGCCCTGCGTTTCGGAGGCCGGAGCGCAGCCCGGCTGGGGTGCTTTCTTACTCGCTGGGGGCCTGGAGCTGAGAAGGGGTGGGCATGGCCAGCGTCCCCCAGCTGTTCGACGACCTGTGCGAGGCCGTCCTACCGGCCGCGAAGGCTCACCTGGGCCAGCACGGCGGGAGCCGGAAGAGGGCAAAGCAGAGACTTAAGAGGGTGGCCTACAATGCCCTTTTCACGAATCTCTTTCAAGATGAGACTCACAAACTGCAGCCTGATCTCTCCAAACTCCCAGTGAAGAACAAGATCCTCATGCTGTCCTTCGACTTGAGAGTGGGTGGTCTGGGCCCCGAGGCTGACCGTCTGGAGGAACTCGTGGAGGAGCTCCTAGCAGCCCCTTGCTGTCCGTTCGTGGAGGTGGGGTCTGTTTTGGGCCTCCTGGTTCAGCTGGCAGGGAGTGGCCCCCCTCAAGTGCTGCAGCGCAAGCGGGACTACTTCTTTAACAACAAGCATGTGGGGAGAAACGTGCCCTACAGCGGCTACGACTGCTACGACCTGAGTGTTTTTGAGATGGACGTTCAGTCTTTGATCTCCAGAGAGGAGTACTTATGTCAGGACATGATCCAGAAGGCGCTTCAGGTGATGGAGGCGGCCCCAGGCACTGGCCTGCCCACCGCGGGGCTCTTCTCATATGGGGACCCTTGCGGTGACAGGTTTGAGAGAGACACCCGGGTCTCGCTTTTCGGCGCTCTTGCACACAGCCGCACATATGACATGGATGTCCGGCTAGACCTGCCCCCGATGCCGGACAGTGCAGACCTCTCTGGATTGGCCATTAAGGTAGAGTGTTTGCTTTCCTGCGTCCAGCTCCCCGGCAGCTGGAAATGCCTCCTTTGACCTTGCCTTGGTCATGGTAAAGGTAGGATAGCGCTCCAGTCCCTGTCACTTGGTGGCTGAGCCGAGGCGAGGCGGGGCTGCTGGAGTGGGCTTCACCTGGGTGGGCAAGGACCCCACCACCCACCTGCAGACCAAAGCAGCACGCTGCTTTTCACCTTCTAACGGGGCGCGTTGTCAGGTCACTTACTCTGCTCTCTAGGGTTGCTGTTTATGTTTAATTACAAGGAAGTAACAAGTTCAGCTACATCTCAAGTACATAGCAGAGCCACGTGCCGCAGAATGTTTGTTCTTGCTATGTGCGCAGTTTTGTGCACTTTCTTCCACCTATAAAGTGGGATATTTCCTACCTTAGTAAATCATTGTTGGCCTTTATGTTTTGTGACTTTATAAATGTTGCTGAGACATTTCAGCACTATCATTACTCAGTTATTCCTTTACTACGAAAAATTCTCACTGTAGTGAACATTTTGGCGTGCGTAAATTTTTCTGTTTACTATGATTTTTAAAATTTTTTAATTTTTAAAGGATTTATTTACTTATTTGAGAGAGAAAACGCACACGAGCTGGGGG